AAAAGCCTAATCTAATTAAAAAGAAAAACTGAATAAGATGAAAAATTGCTGCATATGTATCTCCAGGTTAGAACTGATATTACTGCTGTAACTACTGATCGTAGGAAAAGTGTGAAGAAAACACAGGTCTTCCATCTGCTTCATCCATCTGCTGAGAAAAGAAACTGTTACCATAAGCAGGTCTGTCTCTAAATTTCTTTGTGTTCTGTGTATATTTTCATGACAAATGTCTTAAATACCTGTATTGTTTATCTTTATAGATAACTTTACTAAAAAACATTTAATTTACCAAATTACAAACAGCTCTAAGGTTACTATTTTTTGAAACAAATGCATAATAGAGCATAATCCTCAGATCTCTACTTAAATTTCATGGTTATAAATCAATGACTCTTTAAAGTGCCTAATAAAAGAGTTTGGTTTAGTGTTAGACATACTTGATAATTCACATTTAATATTGTTTTGAGTGAGGATTTGGCACAATGTGTCGTTTTGGCTTTTCTTTATTTGCTTGTGTTTTATTTCAATGTTGACATACCTTGCAAAAGTGAAAGAAATAAAGTTGGGATGTAAAATTCAGACCGAATAGTATTCTCCAAGTCCGTCTGTGAAGGTTAATGCTGAGGAGAGCAGTTTTCTAGAATTTATATATTAGAAGTGTTAGTGACAAACACAAGAAGTAAGGGAGACTCCTGAGGAATTTTGTTCAATATTCTTTATTTTTCAGTATTCTCTATTTTATTTGTCCCATGGGTTAGAAGCTTTAGAAGGGGAACAACTTTTCTAGTTACACAAATCCTGTCCAGAGGTGGGAGCAGCCTATATCTAGCAGCTCCAGGCATTCAGCTTTTTTAGAATGCAGACAATGCCAGATATTCTGCCCTTGTGCACAGTACTGTTGTGCAAACTCAGCAGGTCTTGTGGTTTGTACAAGATTGACAGGAGTATTGCATGCATTATTTCTGCTGCTGCATATGCATGATAAGTTCTTTCAGAATTTATTCCTTTGCTGAGTTCAAGAAGTATACCGGAAAGGTTAAAGACAAAGATCAGACTACCATCACCAGAATCACTCCAGGAGCTTTCTCCTCCTCACCTCCTTTCTCCAGCATTTTACATTCCTCATTAGAATGAACTCCAGGACAGGAGATTTTTGTGGGAGTTTTTTTGTTTGGTTGGTTGGGTATTTTTCCATTAATGCAAGTAGTTCTTGCACAAAGACACCTTTAGAATATTATGGGGTGACTTTTTAAGCCCGTTCTGTTAAGTACTAAGAACTATTAAAAAAACCCAAAACAACAACAAAACCCCCAAACTATCTACAACACTTATGAATTATGGAAACATTGCCTCACTTCTTAAAAGAAAACTGCCTAAAGGTTTTTTCTACTGAAAAGCTAAAAATAGTAAAAAAAATAAATTTAGGTATAGAAAATTATTGTTCTGAAATATATATTAATCTCCTGGGTTCCCTCATCATTAATAATCAAGTGTGGGGCAGTGCTGGTGGAATGGAAATACCTGACAGGCTCCTTGGGATAACCACTGTGCAGTTGCAAAAGGCGGACAAAACCTTCCCCTGTTCAAAGCCCTAATCACTTGGAAGAATCATAGTTTTGGAAGAAAAGCTTTTTGCATTTTGCTAGAGAAATTTCTTTCAATTTTATTGAGTGTTTCACCTTGTTACAAAGCTGAATTATCAAAGTAATCTTTTATGGCAGTGGTTTGGTTTGTTAGTCCCTGTGAAGGTTCTTCATTGTTGGCTGTTGTAGGGAAACAGAAGAATCATACCTTCTGTTTTCTCTCTCTTAAACAGGATTTCATTTAGTAGGTGGAACAACTAAGATCCACCTTTCCCTGTCTTTTTTTCAGTGCTTAGCCCCATTGAGAGGATATAATATATGAACAAAAATAATATATCTTGTGCCCAAATCACCAAAGAAAAAGACATTAAGGTGGTTTAGTAAACATGTTGACATTTATTTTTAATAAAGTGTGGATTCTTTCTTTTATCTTATGAGAAAAAAGCAACATTTTAAAAATCTGAACCAGTGTTGGTTAACAATCAAAAACTGAAGGGTATCATAGGTGATAGAAAAATTGGCACCCGATTTTTTAAGAAGTGATTTAAAGGGTCTGTTAAGTCATTTGATATTGAAAACAATCAGCAGCAATAAACATAATCTTCTATCAGAAGTAGCAAAAGAAGTCATTGTCTCCTTCCTTCTCAATTGAATATACAAGGATATTATATATAATATATATAACTTTGCTTAAAAATCTATACCCCATATAATCTAAAAGGTTATAGTTATGCAAATCATTTTAATAACGAATTTGCTTCTTCAAAGTTTTAAATGAAATAGTTTATTTTAAGCAGCTAGTTGTCAGACCCAATCTCTCATTCTTCAAGTTCATGGCATATAAAAAGAAGAAAGGAATTAATAGTCTATTATGTACATTTTGGCTTCCTTATGAGCTGTCACTCACTAAATACTCTCATATACAGTTAAGACCTCTTTCTTTGCTGTACTGTTAATGTAAAGGATCATTTCAATAAGTGAATTCATTTGCTCCCATCTGAAGACTATCTCTACTGTCAGAATGATATAGTTGGAATTCAAATTACATGTATATATCAAGATATTTTGAGGTGATGGGCACTGCAGATATTTAGACTATTGTTAAATGGAAAGATTCTTTTCCCCTCCTTTTTCCTTCCTACGTTCTTTCATAACAAAGGTGACATTATTTTGTCCTCTGTCACCTTGTAAGATGTAGTAAGATATACAGTATTTTCTGGGTTTTAGGTTGAAATTTTGGCAAAAAAAGAATAGTAGAAAAAGGAGAAAATGAAATAAGATTGCAATTAAACTTGACTCTCAAGAAAGCGTACTTCTGTTTCTTTGCAAATATGTCTAACAATTGATTGTGATTCATTGTTACAGATCAATTTAACTCTCTCCTTTTATTGATTGGGTGAAGAGCACTAGAAAAATATGTATAATCTTTCAACTATATCAACGTATCTGCAAATTTTATGACTCTGAGATCAAATAAGTAAATATTTAGGAAGCTCAGAACAAAAGACTGAAGGCATTTATGGTGAGTTGCATTAAGCAATTTACTGTGTGCTTAGCATTGTATAGCTGAGCTAATCATGAACATTAACCTTTAAAAATTTATCTTGCAAAGTATAATGATCCCATTCTTGGTTCCTAATGCTTTTAGCTCTGTAAACAACATCTGACATTTACCAATAATAATATCATGGACAAATATTCCCATACCCTGCAAATGACAAAGGTTTGAATTGTTTTCTCTTCCTTTTTTTTTTTTTTTTGAGGAAGGAACCAAAGATTGACAGCAGTGCAGTTTTTTCTTTTTTTTTTAAACAATGAATTAAATTATGAATGATACATTACTGTAAAGATCATTAGAAGTTAAATGTTTAACACTGAAAAATATTAGGCAAACATTCAGATTTTTACAGTGACCACTGTTTTCTCATTTTATTTGAATGAAGCAAAAATACTTTAAAGAATGGATGTGAGAAAAACTGGTTCTAGGGCGTGTTCAGATCCTAAATTACAGCAGCACTGAATTATGTGCATAAGTATGAACCTCCAAGCAGTCCTATTGCATTTGCCATGGTGTCTCATTTGCTTATACCTACTTCTGATCTTTTCCTTCAGGTATTGCTGTAATATAAATCTTCAATGTTGAGAACGAAAAAGAAATAACAATAACTCATGATAGATTCAGCATTTACCATGCACATTTTCTAGTACCTTTCTTAATAGGAGCTCTGAGGATCAGATAATCTTAAATTAGTCTTGCAAGCTTTTTTAAATCTATAGTCTAAGCATCCCTCGTGCTCCACAAATTTGCAGAATCTACAAAAGGCAATTAAGAAAGGAAAGTTCAAACATGTTACACAACATCTTGTATGCATGAAATTCTAGAGCTTAAAGGAATATGGGTAACCACAGAAAAGGAGACTTTTTGAGACAGGCTCTGTTGCAGTACTAATCATTGAGTAGTAGTACAAAAATGCCACAGATCTTTTTTTTCATGTAATACAAAAACTGTCATTGACATTTAATGGGGCCGGAATATGTTTCTTTTAGCCTGATGATACACCAAATCTCAAAGTGTGTGAATGTAGGTGGCATATACCTTGAAATGCAGGAGTGTTTCATACTTACCCATGCTTATTCTTTCATTAAAAACAAAATCTGTTGGAATGATCTGAAGAAAGTCACATATACAATGAGGCCTTGGGGACACCAAGTGAGAAGCATGAATTATGTAAATGACCATCTCAAAACTGGACTGTTTTTGTAGAAAGGTTAAGGACATTGGGTTGAGAGATTTTACCACTTCTAGATGTAAATTGACCTTTTAGATACCTAACTCAATGAGGAACTTTAAAGGATATAATTAAGCTAATTTTTTAATCTATTCATGTTAAAACCAAACTAGAACTGCACCAGACAGAAACTGGCAATAGTTGCATTTCTATACCAAATATTATTCATAACTCAATTCTTAGAAAAAAGGAGGACTACTGAAGCTTAACTTCCATTATGAGAATTTCTGGGAGCTTCAGGAAGATTCTCAACCTGAAGAATGGCTTTTAAGATGTTAAGACACAACACAGAATTTAGAAATGTAATACTTTCTCCTGTTAGGAGATGTTGCTTCTGCATCCACACAGATTGGCAGAAACTCTAGAGCTGTGCTGTAGATCTGCAACCAGAAAGGCTGGATCAGCCTCATCTAAAGAATTTGGGCATGTTATCCTGCGGAGGGAGGAAAGAGGACAGTTATTGTATCCCCTTAGCCTCTCATGCAAGATTTAAAGGTAAAGATTTAAAGATTTAAAAGTCCTACAGATTTTTTTTGGCCTTTTTCTGCTGACACTGTTGAACAATAGCAGATCACAATATGGCACTTTCTTTGGTAATGTCTCCTGACTTGCATCACACTAGGCCAAGTGGTCTAGAATTCTGCTTTTAATTTCAGCTGGTTCTTTAATCTGAATTCCTAGTACATGGTGATTTATATCCAAGCAGCTAACAGCATAAAGCAAAACACAATATCAGTTTAACATAGTAACAGCTTTAACATTGTGAGGCTAAAGTACTCTGCAAAATGCCATATGTCACTGTGGGTAGTTTATATGACTGTGCATACATAGAATATTCATACAAGTTATATGGATACAGTAAACCAACAAAAAACATGTGACATTAAGCATTTGTTTCCAGTTAAGACCAGTGGAAACTGAAGTTTCCTAGCTCCAGGCAGGAGGTTCTCGTATCATTCAGTCATAGATATCCATTTCATGGTGAAAATGTAGATTTCTCTCCAGAGTTCTGAAAGTTTGGTTCCATAGGTGCGTTCAGAAAGTGAGACTTCAAAAAGATATGACTCTTGACTCTTTTCTTTCCTTTACATCCTCTCTGATCCACAATAATGGTTTTGATTCAGAACATTTAAATGGGGACTGTTTTTAATCTTCCTATCAGTAGGCTGTCATTACTATGGAGCAAAACTTTTTCAATACACAACATTTCAAGTGGGTCATAAATTTTATGTTAATATAGAAGAAATTTTTTCCTTTTTCTCTGACAGTTATTCCTGATTTGTCTGTATTACACCAAATGTCTTCACTCTTTATTACTGCTTAGACTAAAATCAGACAAAGACTGACTATTCCCAGTCAAGCTTATAGTACAGAATGTATGGGAAATTAGATCCGCGCAAATATGTTATCCTCTTTCAAACCATTAGTGTTCCAAAGTGTTGATTCTATGCCCCTAATTAGTATTTACCCTTTGAAAGTCATGGAGGAAGACTTCAGACTTATGAGAGTTTTGAGATAAAATGCTAGGCTTGTTGACCACAGACTGGTGAGATATTAAACATAGTTTTTTGCTTCCTTCTGCATTGCTTACAAAGTGAGGAGAAATCACACATCCGACTGCACTGCAACTACTTAATGCTGCCGTAAATAGATCATAATAAGCATGTGGTATATGTGATTGTCTGTGCTGATAAATGAAAGGGTGTGAATTTTTCAGCATCAGTGGAAAGAGGGGAACAAGAAAAAAACCTTCCTGATTGCAGCTGCAAATGGTAGCAATTTTTCCTTCCTGCATTAATGAATGTAATTCATGTAACGCATATTACATCATTCAACAGTAAAATTCTCATGTTCATTTCACAGACAAAAAATATTTTAATTAAGAATATCAATGAGTAATGAAAATCTACTTCCAGAAAAAGCAAAGGAAAATACTTCTTTGGCCATGTAGAGGAACCGTGATGAGAATATAGTTTATCAGTGTAATAAATTCACTTTCCTATAACTCTTTACCAAAAGAACCTCCTTTAAGTCATGTTCCGGTTTATTTGACTGTTTTCTGTTTCTAACGTTCCTTTACATGCAGTATTTGACTGTGAACCTGCATTTTACAGTCTCTAGTAATTGAATCACTTCATCTTCTATAAACATCACAGGTTAAAAGAGCTTTCAGCATCTGAACTCCAACACAACATACAAACTAAAATAATTCATTGTCTAGAGACCATAACAAATTTTAATGCTCATTTACAGAGTAAACAGAGGGCTGAAGGGAGTCAAACCAGTCAAAGTGAAGAATATGTATTACAAAATACACACATTACTGAATTACAAAGTAAAAGTGATGTTTTGTCAAAAAAAGAAATTAAAATGTCTCTCAGTGGCACGACATATAGATAATATTAAAAACTGGCTTGCATGAGGACCAAAGTGTGTCTACTCTGAAGTTATATCACACAGACTGTAAGCAATTTACAGAATTTTAGTTAGTTTTGCATATACAGGAATTGCAAAATTAGAGAAAACACACTGAAATATAGAACGCACACACACAAAAAAAAGATGTATATATATAAACCTCCACACAATCATCAGGGGTTGGCCTAAGTCTGTAATTGCCACCATTGAACAAGAAGCAAACAAAAAGACAGGAAAAAAACCTCACAGGGGAAAAAGAATAATATATTAAAAAGAGAAAAAAAAAGAAAAAAAAGCACCTCAAAAGAAAAATACCCTCATTTGTTTTCCAGAAACAACATCCTCTAGTCTGCTGAGCTGCTTTGTGGAATTAATTTTCTCCTCCCTATTTCTCATGTCAAAAAAAAAAAAAAAGGAAAAAAAAAGGCTTTCTGATAAAGTTTGCGTGTATTTTATTTGGGTTGATGTTAAATCACTATGGTTTGTTTCATTATTTGGCCTCTTTTTGCTTCCAGGCTGGAATGGTTCTTTCAGTGTAGGAAACCAAATGTCATCCATGGTTAATTCTGTAATACTGATGACTCGCAGGCCAACCCCTGAGAAGTCAAGGATGAGGCTTCTCCTTGCCAAAAGAAAAGGAAACTAGGTCTTGCTGTTACAAAACGTTTGATTACATCACACCAGTTCTCTTCAAATAAAATATCAGTGATACGCCAAAGAAAATAAGATATATCAAGAAAACATGTGGTATCCTCTTCTTTTTTTATAATATTTATTTTATTTTATTTTATTTTATTTTATTTTATTTATTTAGTAATTTTGTTTGTACTTCCTGAAGAAGGTGCTCCTTGTGTAGAGATTTAGAGTACATTGGGTGCAGAGTGGTGGTTGGAGGTTAGGGTCAACTTTGCTGTCCGCTCCGTGGATTTTACAGGCGATTTGCTCTTTGCTTTAAGAAGAGAAAGTGATATTGGAAAAAGTCAGCACTTTTAGATTAAAGCAAAGCACCCTTCACAAAGCCACAAACAAGAAGCAGGACAGAAAGTCCATGGCTTGTAGCTATCCTCGCACCTGCGGAAGAAGTTATAAGATATTCGCTCATCTTGCAGATTTCCAATGCTCCTTATAAGGCTGTTTTAAACATATACATTTATATATTTAATTAGCTCGCCAGGTTGGCTCTGGTGCCCATGAATGTCTTGGCATGCACTGCAAATAACAACACATACAGAGTATTTCAGTCCCAGGGAGGGTTTTTGTTTTGCTTTGCTTTGCTTTCTCATCTGTCTTTTTAAACAATGTTACCCAGTGAAACCATATACTAACAGGGAAAAACCCAAACACCTTCCATCTCAGAGTGTTCTTTACTAAATCATTTCCAATGTCACATCATTGATTGCTTAAAACAAAATCATCCAGTGGCTAAAGAGTGTTTTCTTGTAAACTGGAGGAGATACCTGCAAATGGCTGTGCTATTTACAAGTGGGAAACAGATTACCAAAATGTTTGGATTATTTTTTTTTGAGAAACTAGATTTTCCCAGAGGGTTTTTTTTTAATAAAGCTATGGAACCAATGGTACATATAATTATTTCTAAACACATGACTTTATACTTAAGTATGTTAGTAGAAAAAAACCATTCAGGGCTAGACTAATTAAACTGAAATGTCCGCACACCGAGAATATAAGTATTTAGATGTCTTACATACCAAGCCTCAGGGCTTGATAACTCCCTATATCATATAGAATCACATTCCAAATTTGAAACATATTACATGAGGTGAAAACTATAAATTTAATTTGGTTGCACTATAAATAGAAGTTCCAATTATAACAGATTAATGCATGATTGATAGATTTTATATGTTTTGTAGATTTGAAAAGTATTAATGTTATTGATAGTTACAGGCATCAGTTCTACAACAAAGTAATAATGGTGTTATAAGCAGTCCATGATAATGATGGACTTGTAATAAATAGTTATTTAAAAAAAAATCTATTGATCATGTATAAGCTATTTTTGTAAAGAATTTATTACTAAATAGGACGATGAATTTCATTGCAGCCCAAAAAGCACATTTGTCTCCTCATCAAGACTATACATGAAGAAAGCAAAAAGAACTCCAGGAAAGCACATTTTTAAACCTTGTAGATGTTTATCAGTAACACAGTTTCTTTGTATCTGCTAAGTATGGTTATAGGTGTAGCAAGATGTGTTTCTGTTCCTGTCTTTAGTAAATTTTTCCCTTCAAAAATGGGGATTAAACTAAATTCCATATATTAGATGAACACTGCTTACTTTAGTAAATACGTGATGTGAGATGTTGTATACATAGCAGTTGCCATGAAGCACTCTTAGTCCTCTGTCACATACACAAAACCTTCTAAGTAACAGTGATATTTCAATTATCCATGTGTGAACTGAATCTCTAAATGAATATTAACTTTTAAATGGAAACACCTCAAAGACATTACTGAGATTTTTCAAAGAAGTTCAAGGGAACTCCGAGCTTAGTTCCTACTGAAAGTACACAGTTATGTAAAGCCTACTTTTCTCTTGCCCATCTGATAATGCTACCTGCATTATTACTTGAACAATATTCAAGTACACTGCAGTACTTTTCTGAGCATCTCAAAACACTTGCTCTGTATTAGGAACAAGCAAATACACAAGCAAATTGGCTGTGACTTCTTTCTGGGGGTTGTTCTCACACAGGAAGTATTTACAAACTTGAACTCCAGGGTTGAGGTCAGTTTTGGTTTTGTTGCAGCATGGATTTGTTCTCTCTTTATATAATGTGTAAAATTTGTAATTTGACAGATTATTATAAAGGCTTTTCTTTCCCTAATAAGGTTAGCAGAACTTAGTAACAATCTTTGTTAATGTTAGATCATTTCCTGATGTATTCAATTATTTTCACTTGTTTTATTCAATTGAAATGAGGTTTCTTTTGATTGAACTAGGGAAATACATGGCTCAAGACCACTCTAAAGAGGTCTTTGGAGATATATTTCCTTTGCACAAAATATGTATAATACAGCTCAGAAGAATCTCACAGATATGTTTTAAAAGAGCTTTTTTAACAATTAATGATGTTGCAATTTTTGAATTGGAAAGCTGTAATGTGTGGAGGAGAAACAGTATGATATAAAATAAGTTTGACTTAAAATATTTCACAGTGGAAAATATTTGCAGGGAAAAGTTTCTTTGATTTTTGGAATTTTTTTACTTTTTTTCAACATGACAATCTGTAGATTCCCAAATTAGGGGGTAATATATAATACAAACTCATGATAACCTTTTAATTTATAGTTTTCAATTTCTGCATAAATCATGGCCTCCCTCCAATTGTTCTATGTACATGTTCTTCTCTAAAGAGTAAGTCTGTTTTTCTTCATCTTGCAGGGGATTTAGGTTAGAGTACAAGCAGTAAATGCAGGCTAAAGCAATTCTGAACACATGAGAAAAAATTTAGGGAAAATAACAGCTAAAACAATTTCAGCTTCAATGTGAAGAAAGAGGCTATTAGGTTGGTTGGAAAAAATTGTCATAGACAGTGTCCTCTGTGAGGTTTTGGGAACCAGTTAGTATATCCTAATCTGGTTTAATAATTTCCAAAATGCTGTCTAACCCAAGCGGATAAATTTTCAGTAATATATCAGCCCAAATAAAACTGCAACATACAGTGACATGTATGGCTATTAGGTGTGCTCTCACATTTCAGTGACGCTCAATGAAATAAAATTGAAATATATTCAGGTTGTTTTTTTTTCCCAGAGATGTGAAAAAGAATTGTATTTGTTTTTTCATGAACCCAAGTGTTTCTTTAGCTTTTAAAAGAGTGAAAGCTGCTAATGAAAAATGAGGACATAGCGAAACAGAAAGCAGCTTTTTTAGACTTTTTTTCTTTTTCTGTTCTGTCATATTTGCTCATATTTTATTATTTTGTTTTTCCTCTTCAAAGAAGATGTGACCAAAAATATTCAGAAATTTCCATTTTGACTTCAAATCTGAAAGTCATAGGGTTCTTAAATCAGAGACTCAGTTCCACCATTTTAAACTTATGTCAGAGGCAAGGTACACATCAAAATCCAAATTAAAATATCTTGAAAATTCAAATATCTTGAAAATTCAGAGTATCCAGATTCAGACTTTTCATACAGATGTGTTTTTAGTGTACTGTTCTGACCAAGACTTGAATCACTGGAACTGTGAGCAAAGTAATGTAAGTTAAAACCTGTCTATCTGGCTGTGGATTTGATAAATTGATTACTCATTACGTATCCATTTCAAGTATTATTTTCTAATAACATAAGGACAGCTAAAATAAATTTTATTGCAGGTCAACAACATTGGGTAAAACTGGACTGCAATTATGTAACCCTCAAAAACAGTAATTCAGAAGAAGCAGCGTAGTATAATGTATGCATATTTTATTTCTACATTATTAATTAAACTCTACTTGATGTGTGTGTCAGACATTCTCAGAGTTTCACCTGTCAGCCACTGGGATCCAGTTAAATTCTTCCTGTGAAATGTAAATACCTATTATTTGTCTTTTACTTCCTGCTACTAACACAGATCCAAAAGAGCAAACGTCCATGAAATATTTAGCTTTCTCCTGTAAACAAATGCCATACTGCCAAAGGCATGTGATTATAAGATAAGTTTTTGTGCCATGGTATGAAAGAGTAGTTCATGCCATTAAGGTGTTTGAAACTGTGTTTTATTCAAATTCATGGTTTTCTTAAATGTTAGGAATACAGAGAGAAAAAATTGTGATAAATAGTTGTGACCTTAATGTTTAAAATAATAAAAACATCTCTGTAAGAAATGCTGAATCATATTTTGTGGCTCATAGTGTATGGACCACACAGGTAAACATCAATTTTGTTCTGTTAATGAAATCAGTTTTAGAGCATCTAAGTATAAAATAAAGCCATTAGAAATTATAAATTCTGGTAAACTCTAACTGATCAAAAAGGTACTTACTCATTCCATGCCTGAATGACTACAGTCCCTGGCTTTCACTAAGATATTGATCAGACAAAATTTGTGTAAAGATACATGGGATTTTGGGAGACAAGCAGAGAAAAGCAAATACTGGTTGAATAATTTTGCCTGTTCATTTTCTCACAACTGGATGAAACACCGAATTGTAAACTAAGCAGCTGCCTCAGGCACTACAAGTTTAGCATCTCCTATTTGTAGGAGTACCTTGCACAGGTAACCACCTTGGGTCTCAAGCAGTTTCCATCCGCACTTTCTAAGATTTGGGATGTAATAACCTCCTGCATTCTGAGCCTCATACCTGTCAGAGACTCTGAAAATTGCCTTCTTACAGTTATGCATACAATGAATAGTGTATTTTCATATAAATAACAGAAGAAATCTGCAAATTCAACAGCACCTCTTTACTATTTTATTTAACATATAAGTTTAGTTAGGGTATCATTTAGTTTCCTTTAATTAGTAACCCACTGATCAATGCCTGAGCAGTGTCCTGGTTTTGTGCTGACCGGTACAGGAGAAATACAGCCAGTCATACAAAAATCCATCCTAGATTCTCAGTATGTATTACATTATACCAAAATATCCTTACATATATATGGGGTTGTGCTGAATATGAATCAATTTTGCTGTTCTACTAATTTTTGAAATCTTGGAAGTTTCATTTTTCAGGACTTTGTGGTGATGTTTTCCATCTTTAAATGCCTGGTCTGCTGTTTTACAACACTTAGCTTTGCTTTATAGTGTTGGATTTTACATAACCTTCTTGTCAGCCCCCGTTGAAAACACATGAAATCATAATTTTGCATTATTTCCATGTAAATTAAGTAAAAGATCATGAGATACGTGCCTTAATTTTACTGGGGACATAAATGAACTGTAAGATTTCTTGGAGGACATTTGCAGTATTATATACATAAAGATAAATAAAATCAAGT